CTCTTCTGGAGCACCTACCGGTAGGGCACGACTCCCAATCTTTAGGCATAACGTTATCAACAATCCAGTGCATTAGGTGCAATGTGTACAGTTTGTGACCTTGCACCATCCCTATATGCTGTAGTGTGCATCGCGCCGACGTTCAAACATGACCGCTTTGAGGTGGTCGATGAACATTGGGGGATAGGATGTGTCTGTTGGCTGGTTTACGTTCGGCACTATACCACTGCTCGCCTATGATATCCTCGCTCATCTTCTAGTGCGTCCTACCTATCGCTCAACTACGTTTGGTGCCGACCATGCCATTCATCCATGAAGCGAAATTGGTAATTTGCATGTTCAAGTGTTTTGATTGGCTACTGTGTGTGAAAAGGTATTCCCAGTCAGAAATTCTGATATTCATCAAGAAATTCCCAATATAATCAGATCAAAAGGCTTCATCATGAAACTTTTCAGGAAATATCACGTAGCAAAATCACTCTTAATATTCAGCATTTAAGTTTAAAGGTACTAATCTGAGGTGATACGTTGGTTGGAATTGATTGAATGCTAGTTGCCCCCCCTTTTATTACTGTTGAAAGTCCTTCCCCCATGACTACATTGAATTCTACGCAGTAGTTTGAGGGGGTACAAAGATGTATTCAAAGCGCAAATATTAACCTGCAAATCTAACAGCATTGAATCCTATTATCATTAGGCTGGGAGTTTTAGTCACTATATTGTTGGCATTATCCCCCAAAGTTAACAAGGTTTCGATCTCCGGAGAATTGACATCGTGACTACTATTGTGCTTTTCACATATTTTGGCTAATCTGGATATAAATACCCGCTTTTAACCAGTAGGTGACGAAGTTTTAGATTAATTCAACTTAGTTTTAGCTAATCGGAAGTACCTTTGATTGGATGAGCAAGAGCTGTTCCTGCAGCATATGTTGCTAACCTGAAGCGTTTGCTCATTTCATTTCGGCAAACGCGGGGGTTTACAGAGTGGATTAACTAATACAC